CTCCTTTGGTACTTCTCAAAGGATGTCTTTTTAGGCGAAAGTCAGATACACCTCAGAGTTTCCACCTCTTCAAGGAGCTGGGGAGCTCAGCTGTCCCACTGTGGATCACTGCCTTAAACCCCCTTACCGTGGCTGTAACCTTAGACATTATCTCTTGTGTTCTCATAGACCTTCTGCATGCATTTGTTTAGAGAAACTGCTCGTATTGCCTTTGCCTGTGTCTGGGCCTCTCTTGCCAGATTGAGAGCATTGCTACCTCCTGCTGACCTTGTATCCCTCCGAGTTTATCATACTTCTGGAACAATAATAATAGTAATAACCAATGTTATTATTGCCAAGGGTTGAGAGTTCTTTTTGCTCAATTCAGATCTAAATTGTGAATCAGTGCAATGTAACTCCTAGAGTTCCTGATGCCATCAGATGAACTGGGTAATGCTGGGTGCCAAACCGCTGCTGCTGGCTACTGTCATCCAACACTAGCTTGTCTCAGAAGGACAAGTGCCTCCAGGTGCTGCTCTTTGCTGCTTCTCTTCCCTGGCGGCTGGTCTCTGGGGCTCTTCAGGGCTAACAGTGCCTAGTATTTATTGCTCTTTCTGTTGAAATGACCATTCTATCCACACTACTCAGGATAAAAATCCTGAATAGATTTATAGGATCTTGAGAAATTAATCACAAGCAGATTTACAGGACCACCAAAGCATATCTGCAACACCACTTGTTCTGCAGCATGTGGGGTCAGTACACCAGAGGGAGCCCTCATGGACTGATCCAAGAAGGGTGAGGGGAGTGCTGCTTACATAGCTGCTGAAGACCTGTGCTTGAGCCAAGTGCAGGGCCACAGTTGGTTTAAATTTGAGCCTGTTGATGGATTCAAGCACTGGGCTGTGGTTAGTCCAGACGACTGCAGGCCTCCAATGTAGTGGCAGCTGTCATGGCAGCGAGTCAGTGAGGAAACAGGAAAGCTATTTAACTGACAGCTATCACACAGTCGGGGAAAATGGCAAAGCCGAAAGATGGGGATCTTCAGAAGGCTACCTGTGTTCATTACAGATAATCAGAGTTTAAGGGGGGGGGGGTGTTAACACTGGGCCCAGATCCTCCCCATAGAAGCCACAGCATGGTGCCATCTCCTACAGCATATAAAGTAGCAGAAGCAGGAGAGAAGCACAGCTGCTGAGAGCCACACTGTGCTCATGTGAGAGCAAACTGCCAAAGAGTGGCTGCTGAATAACCAGGAGGATACCAAGTCCATGCAAGGTTGAGGGGAATTAATTGGAGTTGGGGGGCACAGTAATTACCAGTTAAACCATGCACCCCATCAGACTAGCACAGGAAAAACAAGAGTCAGGGCTTCTCCTCTGTCTCACTATGGTAGTTGACATTTATTGGGTCTTCCTGTGTGGTTTTTGAAGTAGGTAGTATGGTGATCTTTAAAGGAAAACAAACAAACAAACAAAAACACCATGAAGGTTTGTTTACTTTCAAAGTCACAAAATTTTAAGCGGTATAAGTGGGTATGAACTCAAGCAGCTTGTGTCTGCAACCATGTTTTTAATTACTGTTCTGTGTTGCCTACATGTAGTAGAAGCTTAATAATACTTGTTTACAGATACATGTGAATGTAATTGCTGTTTTGAGGAATGTGATTTACAGTAATGAACCACATTATAACAGGGCCCTCTGCAACACATCTCAGTGTGCTCTCCTAGGGTAGACAGTTTCTGTGAATATGCATTAGGAAAGTACAAGTTCTGCCTCTCTCATTCATGAGCACACTTCTATGGGAAAAATCACTTCTACTCTTTGTTAATGTCCTAAACTGGATAATTATTACTAATGGTTTCTACCTCATATGGTAAACATAGAGCAAAGAAAATATTATCAAGAGTATAACTAAAAGGAATGATATAAGTAACACAGGACTCATTTGACAAACATGAGTAGAGATTGTTATTATCACTATTATAATGAACACTGTTTTAAAAACTTTGTAATTGAGAGTACTACTTCCAGCCAATGGGCAGGAGGCTCTGAGCCAGTGTGAGTGATAAAATCTGTCTCCAAACTCAAGACAGAAATGTTTTGACCCACATATTTCACAGGTCTTCAGGTCATTCCAGAGCAAATGAAACCTTTATGAAATATTTGTACCTTTCTTTATAATATAAAACATGGAGTTTGGGAAGCTGAGGCAGAATGTAAACTGGTACCCATGGTCAGTACTAACCATCTAGTTAGTAGTGGCTTCTAAATGAACAATGGGCAGAGGCCAAGTGGATAGCTAGGTGTCAAAGACTGGTAGATTGCAAAGATGCTGGATACCTAAAGCTATCAAGAGCTGCACTATATTGTTCAGCTGGCATTGAACTAGGCACACCAGAGAGATTTATTTACTCAGCAATGTTACTTAACCAGGTCCTCTTTTTAGGCCCAAGGAGTCAAAAAAAAACAAACAAACAGATAAAGTCCCAAATATTCAGGACCATTTTCATTAACAGGGAAATCACAACAACACTGTGATATAAATGTTATCATTTCCTTTTCATAAATAAGGGAGCCAAGGCTCAAGAGAGTTTAAGTAGCTTGCTCGGGGTCTCATATTGGAATGTGGTGGACTTGGGGTTGTAATCTAGGTCTTTGATGAGTAAATCTGTTCTTTAGTCAAATGTGATACTACGTTTCAAGAGATAGCGAATGCTGGACACCTATGCATGCCTGTGTGTATGTGTTGGTGGGGAGAAGTAGTTTAAAACTCTACCTAGATAGTTGTCATCATATAGCAATAATTATGATCATCAATTTGCAAAAGGAGCTTTGTAAGTTCTGTTCATGAGCTCAACCTGTCATTTTATTGCTTCTGATCAAAATCTAAGTAGTTCCCTCAACTAAAGCATAATTTTTATGCCTAGGTTGATAAGCAGGTAGTAGCTCTGGCATATACTGGCTCATTCCCTGACATTCCTGCCTATTAACTGGGTGCCTCCAGGCCTGGACAAGGCCAGCAGGCACTGTGCGTGTTGAAACTTTCCAAACCCAGGGAACTAGTGCTCAGATGCCAGTGAGTTTGAATGGAACGAGTAAAGTGCGATGGTCCACTCAAGGTTATGATGGTGCGGCCCAGAGTTGAGAGGGAGGAGCTGCTCACCTTTTGGTCAGCCCTCTTGTATGACCATTTCCCATAGATTGAAAGAGATTTGTAGACAACATTTCAAATGCCAGTGAAAGAGAAAAGCGAGAGGGCGTTTTAGTCACTGCAGTGGGGTATAAAACCTAAAGACAGTGTTCTGTACTGTGTAGGATCTTGGTGAACCCACTTTGCTTTTAGGGCCTGCTTGTGTTTCCAGAACACATAGCCACGACTGAGCTTTCCAAGTTAGCTCATTCAGTCTGTCTATTCTGAGGCTGTTCCATCACCCTCTAATGCCATTGACATAACTTCAGAATGCCAGAATTTTGTGCAGTCAGTGGAAAAGGACATCCTAGTGGGACATCAGGAGTCCCAGATCCTGGCTCTGCCCGAGCTGGCAGAGGACCTGTATTCCCTTGAACTTAACTTTTCTCACTGGATGTGGATGGTTTTTGTGATCCCTTCTGGCTGTACAGTCGTGATTTTATTGTCTGATATTTGTAGCATTATAGTGTCTTTTTAATTTTCACGCCCTGTATTCAAAGCCACAATTTTTGTTCTGTTAGTACACCATTATCTCTTCCCAGCCTATAGTGCTGGTCGTTAATGTCCAGTAGCAATTTGTTAAAGTAGTAAATGACTCCACCTGGGAGGAGATAATGAGTGAGTCCATCCACTGGTCACATGACGTTGTGCCTTCACACCTTGGACTTTGTGTTGTAGTATGGGTTGCTAGGGGGATTGTGATAACTGGTATGAAGCATTTGAATGATGTGGGCACAACTGCTGCTATTGCTATAATTACATATCTCACTTTCTATGACAATGGAATAATGTGCAAGTGGTTTTATAACCACTTCTTATCAGTAATGTTTTTTTTCTATGTCATTATCATTCTCTTATTTAATTTTCATGGCTATGTGCTATTCTGACAACTTTTTTTTTGTGGTACCAGGAATTCTTATGCCACTGAGCTACATCCCCTGCCCTCTGTGTGCTGTTCTGTTGTAGAGTTTACAATAGTTGGTTTCACCAGTCTCTTACTCTAATTCATTCAGGTTTTTCCATGTTATAAACAACATACCTAAATAATTTACTTTGAAAAGAAAATTTATGGCTTTTGTAACAGAATACATATTTTCCATAAGAAATATTTATTTCCAGACCTCTCCTGTTAATTTAGAACAGAAGTGTGGATAAGCAGGTGGATAGAAATGACTAAAACCACACCAGCCTGGATCCCACATACAAAGAAGCTGTGACTGTTGTTACATTCACATTGCATGAGAGAAGAGCAGTTTTCTTAATCCAAAACCTTGTCCCTTCTTCATCTTGATCAGAACTAGGAGAAAATGCATGGCCAGATCATATGGAAAGAGGATCCAATTGTAAATTGGAGCCCTGAGCTCAAAGCTCCCCTCTGCTATCTGGTGCAAGAAAAAGAGTTCATCAATTTTTATATGAATAAAAGTATTATTAGTACTGAAAATGCCTGCCTTTTCATTGTAGGCTTACAAGATGCAATCATGAAAAGTTGTGAACATTAAAATCAATGTAGGAAGTACAAGACTAAGTTGAAGCACTAAAGGCATTGTTGTAGAGAAGTGAGTTGTAGAGAATATGGGCTTGCTAGTTCTTGTTTGCTCCGGATCTCTTCAGCTGTGACCTGGAATGTCTCTAGGGTTAACGGTGGTTTTTGAGAAAGCTCTCACCTTATACACCATTGCAATTAAGAGGGAGCAATAGCAGTAATTCAATCTTTTACTGTTTGCATGCTTTTTTATTCCTAATCCTTGCCAGATGTAGATTGGCAGTGAGCCCAGAGACTGAGCACTTTCTGAGAAAAGTAGTTTTGTTCTTTTCTCCCATCTAGACAAAGAATTCTTGAAGGAAAAGGAGAAATTAGAAATGGAGTTAGCAGCAGTGCGAACTGCAAGTGAGGATCATCGGAGACACATTGAGATCCTGGACCAGGCTTTGAGCAACGCCCAGGCCAGAGTCATCAAGCTGGAAGAGGAGGTGAGACCAGGCTTAAAGGTTGGGAAGGAGAGGGAGGCAGAGCCCAGGGGGCCACCACTTCCGTTTTCTAACTCAGCTACTTTACAGAGCCAGTTATAAGGACCTGACACTGTGGGTGTGGGAACTTCCCAAGTAAAAATGAATAAAAGCAGTCCCTTACTCAAATTCATTCAGGTTTTTCAATTTATCCACCCCAGAGTCAGGCAAAGCATGAAAGGCACACATGAATGCCATCACAAAGAGCTCCACAGCCTGAGGGCCCAGCCCAAAGCCTGTTGGACTGGAAATAAATGGAAGGACTAGAAACCACTGGTGCCTCTACAACAGAGAGAGAAACAGTTTTTTAAAATAGCCCAATTGCTGTGTCTTTGGGCTTCCAGTTGAAGAGAAGGCAACAGTTGTCTAATGAGGTGTGATAGGAGTGGCATTTAGCAAATCTGTCTCCAGTTTGCAGAAGTTGTCTGGGCCCTGCAGCACCCCCATATCCTCAATCTAGGGATCTTTGGTACCATTCAGGCATTACAGATTTGGTAGTTTCTTAATAAGTCAACCTTGTAAATTTGGTGAGGTGAACTTTCTCTTTAAAGTGGAGTGAGGTATCAGAACAGTCATTTCTGGGGTCTACCCTAGGTCATCTGGGCTATAGAGGCTGAGACAAGAGGAGGTGAGGTGTAGCCCCACACACCAGAGTTTGTGCCTGTACTTTCAACCTGCTGTGGTGGCAGCACCTCTAGGTTACCAGGGCTGGATGCGGCAGGGTCCACGGTGGGGAGTAGACTCTCAGTCTTAAGGTTTAACTGAGATAGTCTATATCAATTTGTAGCTTTGTGCTTGGAAAATAGAAAACAGTAATATCATTCATCCTACTGTTACTAATTTTACTTACTAATTTTCCAAAAACAGCTGGGAGAAAAGTTATTACTTCAAATAGCATCTCCTGATGAAGGTAACTCAGATATACCCACAACTTCAACAGCAAGGGAGACACTGCTGTAGAGGAAAATATTTATGCAAACAAGGATGTTGTCCATTAGAAGCTTTTAAAATCCGGCAAGTTCCATGTAGAAACTCTGATTTTTAACAGTGGGAGGATCCTAGACAGCGGCCCAGAGTGTCTTCCTTGTCACCATAGAAACTGACCTCAACCCCTCAGGGCAGGAGGCCTGCTTTGAGGAACAAGGCCTATACTTCTTATTTTGTCATTCCTGAATTTGCTTCTTCAGGATCATTTCCCTGTGTGTAGTAACAGAAAATTACAATTTTAAAAAATTTTTAGGAGTCCCTTGATGATAGGCTCTACAAAATCACCATTATGGACTTTTTTTTATCATTGTTTTTAGGTAACATCTTTGTTCGATTGAATGAAGCCTTTCCAAAATGACTCATGTGTCTGGCTTTCCATCTCCTTGCTCTTAGTAGTTTCTTCCAAAGAGTCTTAATTCAGTCCAGATGACTGATACCCAGAGCCCACCATAGTTTATCATGCAGGTTAAGAGTGCACAGGAGAACCAGGCTGCCGGAACAGGGTACATGAGCTCCATGACACACTAGAAGTGTGACCTTCAGCAAGTCACTTGGATTCCTGTCCTCAGATTCTCCTCTTCTAATGGGGATAATTAAAGACTTTACCTCTTACTGTAAGGATTAAATGGGATGGTGCATGTAAAACACAAGGCTTGTGTTGTACTGCTCAGAAAATGTTGGCTGAGATAACCACTGTTATTAATCATCCTCCCTGTGATATGTTTCATGCTAGACTTAAGGTTTATATAAAGGTGAAGGAGACAGAACCATGCCTTCTAGGATCTTGATATAACTTAGGAATGGTGTTCATTCATTTACTTATTAAACAAACGTATATTAGGTGCCCAGGGACTGTTCCAGGCATTGAGCACACACTGTTCCTGACCAACAGGAACTAAAGTAGGCAGATCTTGTAGTGCTTGTAATCTGAGGGCTCTGCAGAAAACTGTATGCAATAGAATGTACAGTAACTGGGGCATGAATGAAAACACACAAATTATTTGACCCAATGAGGCTTCTGAGAATTGCAAACTTGCACGTTAGTAGGTTCTCAAAAGTCTACTAAATTGAGTTGAATAGTCAAAAGCACAATGAGTGTAAAAGACCATGTAACAACTCACCCCCAAAACAGATGAATAAATATCTGTTAAGTTGATGTCCATCCCTTGAAATATTAGAAGCATCTCCATTTTAATCCAGTGGCTTTGAATAAGAAAAGACAGCGGCCCAGCTCATGGCAGTGTTTCCTGCTAAGTCAGAAATCTCAAGGAGCCGCAAGCTGCTAGGTCACTAGCATATGGCAACTTGGCTGTGTGATCAAGGCTTGAGTTCAGGCCTGAGTCATCTGCAGGCATCTGCACACTCAGCACAGAACAACAGGAAGTAGCAGCTGGTGTCTTCTCACCTGGGACCAGGTCTAGTAAATATCTCTCTCTGATTTTTGGCACCAGCCCATTCCCAGAATGACAGAAGTATGTCTGGATGTATAAACATGGGCCAAACTTCCGATTAAGACAAAACAGTATGGGTAAGAGTTTAAAGTAATGGATCATGATTTTAAATCCATTAAGTCATTTTAAGCTTAATTTTCATTTCCTGAAGTCATTTTGTTGAATATTCATTATGCCTTTCCTGCCTCTTCAGGGCTGTCAACTCAAGGTCTCTGAAATCTTTAGTTCATAAATACTTGTAATAAATTTTTATACATGAATGGATATACATGTGCATATATATATGCACACACACATAATTTTTTTTTTTTTTTTTTGTCTTTTTCTTTTTCATCAGTACCGGGGATCGAACTCACGACCGCCTGCTTGCAAGGCAGGTACTTATGCCGCTGAGCTAAATCCCCAGCCCCACATAATTTCTTTGTAGCAAAAATATTTATCAAAGAAAAATTAAAATTCTTATTCTTTATTCATAATATTCTTTACACGGCAATTACTATTTGGCCATACAGATAAACACAGTTAATCCTTTAGGTATTTATTTCCAGTATTTTTATTCATAGACCAATACATACATGAAAATAGTTGTGATAATGTACGTAATTTTTTATTTGAATTTTTTCATTTAACATTATAGAATAAGTGTTTCTTCATGGTATTCAAAACTGTATTAACCTCATTGTCAGTGACTGCAAATGCTATAATTATTAAGAAATAACCAAGTGTTAAGCTCAAAACTGTACAGGTTACCAAAAGCAGGTATTTCCACAGGGTCTTTTATTCCAAACATCCTAGCCATAACTGATAAGCTGTGTGTAAAAATTTTTTGTCAGAACACACCTGAGGGAGAGGAAAAGCGAGGCGCCCACACCTGCACTAGAAGTAGGATTTCCAGGAAGTCTGACTGCCACCTCCATTCCAACATTACAGTCATGGGGCTCAACTCTGCTTTTTCACTCTTTTTCCCTCAGCTACGAGAGAAGCAAGCCTATGTGGAGAAAGTGGAGAAGCTGCAGCAGGCTCTGACACAGCTGCAGTCTGCGTGTGAGAAGCGAGAGCAGATGGAGCGCAGGCTGCGGACCTGGCTGGAGAGAGAGCTGGATGCGCTGAGGACCCAGCAGGTGAATTAAATTCATTCAGCAAACATGTAGTGCCCTCGAGAGCCAGCCACTGCTCCCTGCACTGAGGGAATTTCCCTGTCCTGAAACCCAGCCACTAGAGGGGACGTTGAGAGGTCCACTCACTGTGGAGAAATGAACTTCCTCAGAGAGAGGAATCACCACCTCGGGGCTGTGAGAGGGAAGGCAACTTCACATTTGAGTTGGACCTTGCAGGGTGATGTATTGGACATTCAGGGCCAAGAACATAGAGAACGTTTAAAGGAAAGGGTCATGAAGTGCAGGGCAAGTCCAGAGCACCTAGGTCCCGTGGGGTCTGTCCATTGAGGGGGCCAGTGAGGGTGCAGTGGCCCATTTGTGGAAGGCATTTGGTCAAGTGTAGAGAATAGGCTTCCTTCTACAATTGAAAGATGGCACTGCAGTCAACACCTTGCAGGGCAGATGGTGAAGTCGGGGAGACCTGTATGACGACTCTTAATAGGGTCTAAGGGAGTCCATGTAGGAGCTAAAGGCAAGAGCTAGTAAAAGCTGAAATTAACAGGACACTAATTGCTGTGTTTTTAGAGGTAAGCAGGGAAATAGTTCAGGACCGCTCCTGGGGAGTAATTTTGTCTCTAAGCTGCAATTCCTTCTGCCTCTGCCTGTAACGCCGTGATAATGTCACTTAGCTATGAATAAGCGTGGAGTAGAATGCTTCACCCAGGGCCTGTGTGCTCCTAAGCAAAGAGGAAGTCTGGCAGGAAAGCTCCACTCCAGACTGACGAGAGACTCCAGCTGCTAATGAGCCTAGGCTTCTCCATTATCTGCCAGGATGGTAGGCATAGCCTGCTATGCAGCTATGGAGAGTGTGCTTTCATTTGGGTTCCCAGGGAAGTGTAAGGCAGGCTCCGTGGAATTATCTACTGCATAGGTCCTGGTCGTTGTGGTTGAACTCTTGAAAACACTTGAACACATGTATTCAGGCCAGCTTGGTCCCTCCTGCGTAGCAGACCCATGCAGTTTCTTCTGGGTGCATGCACTTGGCTGATGAAGCAAGTGTTACCAGGATTGCCCAGGAGATAAAGAAACCCACCCTGGCCTCCACCACCTTGGCTCAGCGGATGGCTTGTGAAGAAGGGTAGGTCTTTTTCCTGTCTTCTGATATTACAGCCTTTGCCACCTTCCCGGCATAGAATGAGAACTTGCACTGTTCTGTTACTCTACTATTGAGATCGGAACCTTCCCAATGTGAGAACAGGGCTTCTCTGGTCCCAAGCATGACAGATTTTAACAAATCTCTGGCTGGCATAATACGTACATCTCAATTATTAGAGCCAAGGGGAGTGTTCTCTTCCAGTTAATGTGCTATCCACACCCTACAGTTAGAATACTTATACTTGGCTCTTCTATTTTGAGCGCTGTGAAACCAGACTCTACTGTGTTTGTCATGTATCAAGAAGAAATGAGACTCCAGAGTTATTTGAAAAATACCCTAATTGTCACAGAGGACAGCTCACTTGTGTGTGCATTCAGACCCCCAGGCACTCACTCATATCCAGCAGCACTCGTGTCGTACTCAGAGGCTGAGTGAGACCAAGCACTCTGCTAAGGCGGCTGTGTCAGAACTGCGGCTCCCCAGGGAAATGGCCATTCTTGTCCTTTGGTTTTGTGTTCAAGAACTGGTGGCAGATCCCCAGCTGTGTGTGGCTAACAGGAGACCAGAGATGCTCAGCATCTCTCCAGAAATAGTAGAATTTGGAATTTTTAATGAGACTACATTATGTCTCCTATGAAATGAAATGCATTCAGATTTTCCTCTTGCTCTTATGTACCTATTAAAAAAGTAGGTATTGGGGCTGGGGATTTAGCTCAGCGGCGTAAGCAACTGCCTTGCAAGCAGGCAGTCGTGAGTTCAATCCCCAGTACTGATAAAAAAGAACAAGACAAAAAAAAAAAAAAAAAGTAGGCATTTTTATTTTTTCCATTAATAGTTTATTTCTAATGTTACCAGTAAGTATATATGTTTCTATAACCAGAAAAGATAAAAATGCTATTACAAAAACATATACACACAATTTCTTAAAATAATGAATTTCATAGAATTACGAGTTTTTTACCAGTGCCATGTGGTAGATGCTGTAAAAGTTAGAGTCTGCTCACACTGATATTTGAAGCCTAAGGCCAGTGTGGGAGCAGCCCTGTCAGTGACCCCAGGGATAAAGGGCACCCACTGTAGAACACAGAATCATCTGAGAAACTCTGCTTTTCCGATAAAGGCTGCCCCAGCGGCCTTTCTGATTTTCCATTCACACTTGAATGGCATGCATGTGCCCACCCCTTTTGGGCACAAACATAGGCAACCTCAGGAGGGAGAGCTTCCACAGCCCACGCCACACTCTGCTCCTTTACCCCGTGACAGTGAGGCATTGATCTGACCCCTTGAGGAATCATGCTGAGGTCACACTGTAACAAAGCCCTGAGTCATCTCCATCCTTTGCAGATCAGTAAGACCAGCCACTCTAGCTCACCCCCTCCCACATGATAGAATTCTGAAGACACGAGAGAGCTTAGTATACTTGCTGGATCAGCACCCCACACACAAGCCTAGGGTCCTTAACCTGATGTCAGGGTATAGCTGAGTCTCTCCCCTAGGTCTCCTTAAGAACACAGAACCTCAAGCGAGCTCCACTGAGGCTTCTGTGAGGTACCCTGGATTCTTCCAGAAGGATGGAACACTGGAGATGAGCAGAGTGCTATGGAATCCTGTATGATTTGATGGCCTCACTATGTGGCTTAGTCTGGTCTCACACTGACAATAGTCCTCCTGCCTCAGCCTCCTGAGTGCTGAGATTACAGGTGTGGCTCTGCACCCAGCACACATCTTATACTTGTACCTACAATTAAGGAACTCTGCACAAAGTACCTATAACAGTAACTGGCACTTCCCAGTTGATTAAGAAGGAATAACTCATTGCTGTTCTGATGGATGTCATTCATTATCTTCAGAATCATTTAAAGACCTAGGCCATCCTTGGTAACATCTCCCAAATACTTTACTTGCCTCACTTTTCCAGTAAGGAAGAAAGAGTAACAGAGATGTGGCTGATAGAAGGAGAGAAAGATAGGTCAGGACTACAGGCTTGGCAGGAAGGAAGTTCTCACTTGGCCGTCCTTATGATACGTCACTTTTCCTCTATCACAAAAGATGATGTAGTATTTCAGAATCATTAGAAACTGGGAGAGAGAGAGAGAAACAAATAAGTGAATAGGAGGGGGGGAATTTGCATTTTTAAGAAGTCACCGTTTTATCTTTTTTTTTTTCTTTAACACAGATCTCAAACTAATTTTGCGTCTCCTTTTACCATAGTCCTGTGAGGTCCCGTGAGACGAAGTGGGACTATTACAGAAGGCGCAGGGGCCAGGTCAGGGTCATGTAGCTCATTAGGACATTCTTTGATGTAGACAGGGAAGGCAAAGATTTCATCTGTCTTAGTCACTGTTGTATCCCCAGCACATGGGACTTGCTCAGCAGATATTTGTTAGACCAGTTAAATGGACATCAGAAGGTGTGTTGCCAGTCCCCTGGTTTGATTTTCTGACTAGCAAGTTACCCATTAAATCTGGTTCTCTGCATGCTTTAGTGGTGAAATTCATGCATTTATTAAACAACTGTATGCTGTGAATAGCTGTCATCATCTCACAGGAGGTTAAGAGAAGGTAACAGAAAAGGTTTAGATAAAGACTGACAAGCACAGGTGAGAGCTTAGGGAAGCCATGGGAGCTCTTTCTGGAGAACTTTCTAAAAACAGAGTGGCTTCTCGTTTTAATGGACTGGTTCATCTGTCTTTCTGCCTTAATCCACATGCCTAGCCAGTTGGAGTCAGAGACTTCCTGTACAGGTCAGGTGAGGACAGAGATGTGCCTTCTACTCTATTCTTCCTTAAATATTGCTTGCTGTTAAGCTACCACTTCTTAAAATAATTTATATTTGGAATTTTAAACACATAATAAAAATATGTGGCTTACAGAAAAACACTGTAGGTCCATTTGTTCCCTTCTCTGGTAGGATTTGTTCCAGTATCCAGTACCCAGCTGTTGCTCTAGGTAATATTCCAGCTCTTTTGCTAATCTAGGGCTTAAATGGTTCTGGGTAAGGTGTTCGAATACCTCTCACCTTGCAACTAGCTCTTTTAAATTGCATTTAAAATTTGTGATCACTGGAAAACATGAGGAAAATGTAAGTCCCAGGAGGATGTAAATCAGCTGAAATGAAATTATTCTTTCAAGTGTGAAGAATCGTGGCTCACACTCAGACGAGGCCCAGAATCCTGAGAGGCTGAGATTTCCTGTCTGTGCTGTTGATCTGAAGTCAGAACTTCCTCAAAGCCCCATTTTCTCTTACATCATGTTCCTTAGAGCAATAGCATCCCTGAGTTAACAGAAACATCTGAAATGTGAATATCCTCAGCTTTTGAGCAGTCTAGATAACAATCACTGTGTTTCCTCTTGTTAATGCAGATGAAAAGAAAGGACTGGAAAATGAGCTGGCCTCACTAGAGGTATTCTGCTTTCACATGCATTATCTAATTTGCTTTTCATTCTCCAATGGGGAAGATCTTGATGCTTCTTTTCCCAAATCAGAGCCTAGCAGCTGGGAGCAGGTATCGTCAAGGATCTCCATCCTACTCCCTCTGCTTTTCGATGTTATTACACAGTTTCAGAAGAGACAAACATGGGAAGGCTTAATTCCTTTTCTTTTAATGTAAATTAACTGTATGACCTTGGACAAGATACTTCTCATGCAAAGTTCTTGAGCTGTGAAGCTAGACCCAGGTTTGAATCTTCTTTCTACCACTGATTACTTGAAAGAAAATGAACCATTAATTTAGCCTCTGAAGCTTAGTTGCTTTCTGTAAAATTAGTACAATGGTAAAATTAGTATAATGTTGTCTGTTACAGAGCTGCATGAATATTAGATAAGACAGAAACAGAGGTGAGGTGTCATGGTGTTAGGACCCACTGCCTTCAGGTCCTACACATTGCAGAGAGGGAGCATGGGCATTAGAATAACGTATGTGAACTGCCACAAGATCCAGGAGACCACTGTGCTCCATGCAGATAACGGTGGAGACCTGGCTGGTATGATCTACCTTGTAGCCCATTTTAAGGATCAGCATGTTATTTCTGCCTCTCCAGAAACATGGAAATGGCCATCAAGCTGGCATGCCAGAATACAGTGCTCCGGCCCTCATGGAACTTGTACGGGAGAAGGAAGAACGGATCTTGGCCCTGGAGGCTGACATGACCAAGTGGGAGCAGAAATACTTGGAGGAGAGCACCATCCGACACTTCGCCATGAATGCTGCAGCCACTGCTGCAGCTGAGAGGTGAGACAGTAACACTGTGCCAGACAGAGAACCATCATTGGACCGAACACAACATAGGGACCCAGAGAGGTCCAGGGTCCATCCCAGGGAACATGATAGTGTTTAAAGGACTGTATTGCTAGTTGGAGAGAAAAATGGTGTAACAGTCCTAGAGGATAATTTGGCTATAGGTATCCACCCTTTGGTTCCAAAATTCCAGTTCTAGATATTTATCTTACAGAAAGCAACAAGTGCCTAAAGAGTTATGTCCACAGATGATCACCCAGTGTTGTTCAAAATATCAGAACATTTGAAACACCTTGGAGTACAACTAGAGGAAACTCACTTAATAGAGTACATTTGCACAGTGGAATAGTGTGTGATCTTTAATAATGATGTTGGGGAAGAATATTTTATGATTCTTTTAACAGAGTCTGTTTCATGGCCTGGACAAGAACACATAGCTCTCATGGCAGTCCTGACAGCAGGTACTTTTCTTGTCCTCATTTTACAAATGAAGAAAACAAGCCTGAGAGAGGTTCTCAGGTTGGTTTTAAGTGCTGAATCCAGCTTCCCATTCTGGTAGTCAGAATGGACCATGAATCACAGAGTGATCTGTCTGAGTTAAAACCTGATTCACTTACTCTGAAATCATTTTCTGCCACTCTCAGTGTTTACCTCAGTTGCTGTGCTTTTCTCTGTAGGTATGCAGCCTTATTCCTCTTTCAAAATTAGCTCAGTGTGCACCATAACGCACAAGTAACTCACAAAGACGGTCGTCTGAATGGGCAAGGCAGAGGCCCCTTGTCTTGGCAAGAAGGTGGCTGCCTGCAGCTGAGTGGCTGTGCGCAGCCCATCAGGGCCCTCACTCTCGTTCACTTGGCATGCTTTTCCTCAGAAGTTATCTTGTGCATTTCATTTACAATTGTTTGGAATTCACCAAAGTTTAGAGTCGGTACATTTGGAAAATTCTCTTAATTTCAAAGTGATACAGGACCTTCAGATTATATGGAAAATACATATAACTTCCAAACTGGTAGATGACCGATACACCAAGTTCATGTTCCCCAGAGTCAAAGAAAGAATTCTAAGGAACAGTGGAGGTTAAGAGTAGGAAATTTTATTGAGAAAGAGAGAGAACGTGTGTGAAAGTGCACCTGAGGGACAGGAAGGAACACGAGTGGGTTGCCGTGGACCCTACTTCACTGAGGAAGTTTTATACAGCAAAACCATGAAGTGGTTACAATGTGGGCTAACGCTGTGATCAATCATAAGATTATAAGTATAGCCACTGAGGTGATACTGACCCAATGAGTGTGTGAGGGTAGCTCAGTGGCATAAGTGCTGCCTGGCAAGCACAAGGTCGTAAGTTTGATGCCCAGTCCAAAAAAAAAAAAAAAAAAAAAAATTGACCCAATGAGGAAGCAGGTCATGCAGCAATGTACATGAAAAGAACAAAGAATTTTTCAGGAAAGGTTGTTTCCAGGGGTCTTGATCACCCACCAAAGTGACTGATGTCTATGTAAACTTTATTGGAACAGATGTTACCACTTACCCCTTGGGGAAGCATGTCGGCCTGGTCATCGCATCTTTATCTTGAGTCCTGGCCTCCAACAGATATAGCTCTGGCCACAGTTGTAATGTGTTTTCATCTTTTGTATTGATTCTTTCAACGACCTAGCCCTGTCTGACTGCCTATAATATTTCTATCTAGCTTAGCTGTCTGTAACAGAAGGAACACCCAGAAAGCTAGACTTCTTTTTTTTTTTTTGGTCTTTTTTGTTTTTATCGGTACCAGGGATCGATCTCATGACTGCACACTTGCAAGGAAGGTGCTTATGCCGCTGAACTAAATCCCCAGCCCCTAAAGCTGGACTTCTTAATAAACAAGGGCTGTTTTTGTTCATTTTAGTTGGAGGCATGTGACCCAGGGACAGAAGTAAAAGTAAGGATATAGCTGGTTATATGGTCGGGTCCACATTGCCTTGGGTTGGCTTGTTTTTTCTTTAGTGAGTGTGAGAAGACATGCTGGGATTGAGGGAGAGGTGCTTCCTAAGCTGCCTGTGAGCTCTCAGGTTCATCACTAGGGGAGAAGAACCCCCAGGTGTGTGCTCAGATGTTAGCTCGAGGAGTTGGAGACAGCAGTGCCACCATGTGGGCGTAGATGCCTCCCCTGGGCTCCTTAGCAAGACAGATTCAGGGGAAAATTACCATCTTGGAGTCATTTCCTAGCACTTTATTCATGTCTGTGCTGTGAAGGCTGAAACTCTGACTATGGGAATAAAGCTCTGAGAGACTCAGTGACTCCAAAGTGAAGGGATGAGAACTGGTGCAGCCTGCAGCTCAGTCCTGCACTCTGAGCACTCCGGAGTTTCATTGACCTCCTGCGAAATGGAGAAGTGAAGCCCTATGAAACATTCCTTGATCTTCACATACTTAAAATGTTCTTATTTTTTAACTTTTTAAACTAACAACAGAATTATTTCTGTAGCCCAAGAAAGCAGACAAACATTGCAAAGTTGCAGAGGAGCTGGGGCTAATGTATCCTGTCAGTGTGATTACCAGAGTGTTTGCTTTCTATATTTGTGTTCTATGCAAGGTCACTGTGCAAGGAGGTGGACATTTGTGTTCACAGCTTCTCCTTCTGTTACTGACTGTGGCATGTGACTGGGATAAGCGCTTCTGAGTATCTCTGACCTCATGTGAAATGGAAGTAGCAATTCTGGAGTGGTAGAGAGCATGGAACCCAACCACATTCCTCTGCTAAGGACACTAAAGCCCTATCGATGTAAATGTGTTCCCTCACGGGATGACGCGAGGACCTTCAAGAGTCACTGTTGGTCCATCTTTTGCTGATTTACCAGATTAGATATCTGCTTGGGATCCTGGGCTCTGAGTAGATGAAGAGGACTGGAATGTGAGAGTTGGAGGTGAACAGGCCTGCACAGGACAGGTGGGAGGTGTGTAGAACCACGCAGACTCCAAACATAGTTACCCGCCGGAAGGCTCTAGCCCCAGCCTTGTCCGCCATTTGTCAGACAAGAAGAAACAGCTCTTATACCAGAGGATTGAGGTTCTGTGGGATTTTCCTAGCCAAACTGTTCTCCTTCTGTCCTATTTGGAGTCATGGATGGATGGAGTTCTTATGGCCTTCCCTCCCTTTGCCTCCCATTTTTTTCCCTGTGTATTCATCAAGCATCTTGGAAAACCACCCTCCCCTCCCTGTTACAGCCTATTTCCTCCCACTATCAGAGAAAGGAAGGAGAAAGTGTTCCTCAGAAACGCAGTGCCAACTTGACATCCTTTCAGAGGAAACTTCTATAATTTAAGCTTTGCTTGTCTGTGGATAATGAGGGGGAAGAGGAAAATGAGACATTTTTTCAGCTTATGTCTAGATGCTAAGTGGCCGCAGATAAATTCGTAAAGGTGACTATCTCTACCCATTAGTCCTGTGACTTTTCATGCTTCACATTTATAAGAAAGACCTTTAAACAAAGAATACACATATCTTGATGTCATTGGTCAAAATTTTTAGAGGTTGAGCTTATTTTTTTTATGCATGGAGAGGTTTTGAAACTTTTTACAAATTGCAAAGTGTTTACCACCTAAATTCACATTGTGCCTGCCATCCTTACTTGAGAGTGTAAATATGAACTTTTAAATTTGTCTGTGGTCGGGGATATAGCTCAGCAGGATAAATACCTGCCTGGCAAGTGCAAAGTCCTGAGTTCAATACCTGGTACCAAAAAAAAAAAGGGAAAAAAATTTTTTTTGTCTCTAGTTGCATGTGAGTCCTCCAAAAATAAATTGGTTGAAAATGTTTCTAACCACTAATGCCAATGGTTTTTGTGTACCATGGGATGAACCAATAATTTTAACATATGTTTAAAGTATTTTGTTAATTTTCTGTATCACTTTCTTTGATGATGTTTTCAGCCACATCTTGCACTTTTTTGCAGCACATTCATATCGATGCTCCCTTCTTCATTTTCTTTATCTTTCTGTTTCTTTCCTGAGGCCTTCATAAACACTTTCAGGGGTGCTGAAGAATAGCTAAGGACTTTGAAGTCATTCATCTTTGGATTTGAACCCATTTCCACCATTCACTAACTGAGTATTCTTAGAAAAGTCACCTAGCCTGGTGTCTTCATCTCCGAACCAGAGATAGTAATACTTACTGCACGCATAGGAACGAAATGAGAGGGTTGAGGTTTATCACCATGATTAAAGCACTTACGTACCCTACTGAAGGCTCACTCTTGAGCACCAAAAGCAAAAAGAAAACAGGAACTAAGTGAGAGACCATGTGTACTGTGCTGTATCCAGTTGCTGCATAAAACAGATGCTCACTCACTAATAACTCCTTAAAAAGAGGTTAAAAAAAATCTCATTTTTGTTATTTTAGGGTATTTTAGAAAAGAACTTTAAAGTTTTCAATATGATTGTACTATTGAAAAATGAAGTTTAAAAAAGATGAAATATTTGGCTACATCATTATGAATTTAGTAGTTATATAATCAGAGGCTTAAATGCTTTCATCTTAAGCTATATTGGACAAATGACTCTCTGACCTGTCACGGTCAATTAGGAGTAATTAACTGAAAAACCGAGGGTACAAGTAGTTGCTTCACAACTGTTTCTGGCTAAACTACTTTTCCTTCTACTGACATTTCTTTTCTTCTTAACTGAATTTTCTGTGTTCTACATCTTTCTGCTCTGGTACCTAGCATGTTTGCTACTGTGACCTAATCTGATTTCTAAGAAGGAAATTGGAATATAAATGTGGAGGAAAACTTCAGTTTGGGGTTGAGTGATCTGAGAGGTTCAATCTCAGTTTCAAGTAGTTACTGAACCCCCATTTTATTGTAAAATACTTTTTTATTGTAAAATATTGAAATAGTTGCTATAGCAGGACATCAAAGTAGAACAAGAATTAAAAATACAAGCATAGAAACACCAGCAAATATAATGGTGATAAGTGTTCCTGTATCAGTAGATTAAATCTGTACATATCCATTTATAAATTCTTAACGTATCATATAGGTTAATACTTTATTTTGTTAGTAGAAAAGACAGGGAATTTTCATTTTTGAATTTTATCTTGTTTTCCTTAGATCTGTCTTAATTCAGTCAAGGTTAGGAAAACAGTTGGCCAACATTACGACAGGGGAGGTGAGTGAAGGAATTTTTGCAGAGATAGTTTAGCAGCGGGCCCTTTGGTTTCCCCTCCACGAGCATGTGCACCATCTTTTGCATCACCATCTGATGAGAGTGGCGGCTGAGCTGGGGAAGCGATAATGGGAGGTCTTCAGGAGGGAGTGGAAGGGGCGGGCAGATCTCTGTCCTCTCCATCAACACAGATCCTGTCCTCTCTATCCTGAGTCTGTTTGCATGGAAACCAAGAAAGCTTCCAGTGATCTGGTCCTGTCCTGTGTTCCCAGGGACACCACAATCATCAACCACTCGAGGAATGGCAGCTACGGGGAGAGCTCGCTGGAGGCCCACATCTGGCAGGACGAGGAGGAGGTGGTGCAGGCCAACAGGAGGTGTCAGGACATGGAGTACACGTAAGGGACCGCGGTGTGTGGCTGTAACACTGTGTGCCACTCTGCTACTCATTTCCATCCCCTGGTGGGGCCCCTGTTGTACTCACATCTCAACCCTTCCAGGGACATTTGCTTCTCTGTCCTGTGCCAAAAAGCTGAGCTTAAAGACTCCACACTCTGCCCTGGAGAGAAGTGGAAGGTTCACAGCTAAACATGTGGTTCCACTCACCTGGGAACCTATGTCGCAGTTCTGGGGGATAACTGCAGGTCTGTACAGGTTTTAAGGTGGAGACTAAATCTAATAACAGGAAGATTTAGATGCCCATATTAATTCTGGGCATCTGTATCTTATCACCTTCCAGACATTATGAAGTGGAAAAGAAAAACATCATATGATTTCTGAGCCAGAGTTTGTATATTCCAACCAAAGATAAGGAGCTTACTTAGCCAGGGTAATCTAATGGCCTACACATGATTTCCAGCAGATTTTTGATGCCATAAAACAAGCCTCCCTGCCTTGACCGCCTGAGGGCCTATGAAGCCCTGGCAATTCTGAGCCTCTTCAGGTGCAAAGGTGAAAGTGTGGCTGCCTTGCTGAGCCATCATTAGGCTCAGCACATTACTGTGCAAGTCATGAAAAGAACACGAATGTTCACTGGTTCTCATTTTTGACCATCAGTAGGGGGAAATCTTCCAGAGAACCTGCCCATCTCTTCATATTTCATGGAGAAAACAGAGAAGCTGACCTCAGATGGTGACTTATCCTGTTTTTCAGGCCTCACACTTTCTGTGCTTTCCTATTGATTCTTGTCCCAGTACTAAACTGGCTAAGTGGGGGCCCCCGTGCAGCTTGGTCCAAGACGTCCTTAGTGAGTCACCACAGTCATTCTCATTGAACTTCTCAAAAGTCCCAGAATCTCCTGAAGTGCCAGTGAAGACCCTCCTTGCACAGTTTGCAGATTGTAAATGTTCAAAGACTTGTACTGGCATAGACCCACCCCCCAGTCACTGAATGACAAAGTCCCTGAGAGAAATGCTTCAAGTTTGTCTAACCAAATAGCTTTTTATGGTTCTGTTTTCTTTGGTTTTACAGTATAAAAAACCTACATGCCAAAATCATAGAGAAGGATGCCATGATTAAAGTGCTTCAGCAGCGATCTCGTAAGGATGCTGGGAAGACAGACTCCTCCAGCCTGCGTCCAGCACGTTCCGTCCCATCCATTGCAGCAGCCACTGGGACACACTCCCGCCAGACCTCGCTTACCAGCAGCCAGCTGGCCGAGGAGAAGAAGGAAGAGAAGACCTGGAAGGGCAGCATAGGTGAGCCCTGCTTGTCCTTCAGACTAGGATCTGCAGAGCAGAGCCACACGAGCCTTAAGAGGCATCTGTATCTCATCACCTTCCAGACATTATGAGGTGCTACTCATAGAACTCGATGTCTGCTGGTCTCAGTTTACTTATGTGGGAAATAGGGGAGGGGGCATGTAAATCATACTCTAGTTGTGGAGAGTAAATGAAATATGTGGAAGCACTGTGTAAATTCTAAAGGCTTTGCCACCAGAGTGTGGCTGCTTCATGTCATCAACATCATTATTATTGAAATTTGAGGTAACAACACAGAATGTTGGTGACAGAAATGCTAATACATCAGGCCTCTGAACTGGCTGTGTCTCAACCTGTGTATGTGACTGCTCTACCTCTGCTTCTGCATATTGGAAAAGAAGATAGTGTCTGTCCCACTTTGCCACAGGGGACGTGGGATGACTGAGTGACATAATGGGGGAAATACATTGGAAGAAACACTCTCAAGTATGAGGGGTGGTGGTGGGGTTTTACTGTCTTGTCACCCAGCAAAATTCTGAGAATTCCTCAAGTGTGGTCTTGACCAAGGGTAGGTTTTGGGGCGCAGTGATGGGCTAGGCTAGTGAGTTAGACAGGAAGTAACCAGAGCATACACTCACACACAAACACACAAGCCCATGCACATGTGTTCTCTGCTCCCTTCCCCCACACTCTGCCAACCCCAGGAGTCTGGCCCTTAGATGTAAGTTCCTGGCTCACTGTGTTTTTGTTTCTTTATTGAGCTCAGAGCCAGTTTGCCCCAGTGTGGGATCTCAGAGAAGCCTGGCTGCTTTGTGCCAGAGGGGATAAGAGCTACCATACGAACAGACAGAGTTGGGGGATCAAAGGCTCCCAAGCAGAATCTCTGTTTGAAATCCCTCTGCTGGTGGCCTCAGCAGCCCCTGCCCTCAAAGGAAATGCACTTCAAAGCTGGGATCATCAAAGACCCTTCCAAGGACACTTAGCTCCCAGCCTAGTCAGGGCAGGAGGCTCAGATAGGCCCCGTTAAACAGTGTGGAAATTTGTTCCACTCTGAAAGGAGCTTCCCTGGGAGAGCCTGTTGGTGACAAGCGTCTTGGGAGCCACAGACCTTGGCCTGAATGAGAAGGTGTTGTGTTGCTACACCTTTCTTCCTCCCCATCATCGTGGTTGGTGTCCACATGTAAGAAAAACAAGAGGAGTCTGAGGATGCAGGCAGAACCACAGTTCCCCACAGTCTCACCATCTCTTGACTAACAGGCTTTGTGGGGAGGTGGTGGCGAAGCATCCGCCTTCCTGATTGCTGAAGGGCTCCTCAGAGAGATGACTAGCTGATGATTTATTACACCCAGTACCCTCACCACTGGGAGAGCGTCCTGTCAGACTTTCGACAGGCGGGAAGAAGAGTGGGAAGAACATAGGTTGTTCCCAGTCAGGCACAGCTGGGTTTGAAGCTCATTTCTGCTACTTCTTAGCAGAGAGAAGTTGATTTCTGTGAGTACCATTCTGTCAGACAGAAGAAGGTAAGACCTACCTTGTAGGAATGTGAACTGAGTAATGTGTGAAGCCCCTAGCAAAGATCCTGGCTACCCAAAGTGTGGTCTGTGGGCAGACCACTCCGACCCACCAGGAAGCGTGTTAGAAAGGCAGAAGCTCAGGTCCCTGTCCCAGTATTCAACTTCATTTTAACCATAGAGCCGCGTAAATGATGGATAGGCACCTTGAACTTCCAGAAGCACGCACACTGTAGACAGGCTCAGTGGCCCCTAGTAGTGTCAAGGTGGCATCTTGACACAGCCTTGCCAAGGATTCTTTATGAACTGCTGGCTCATTAAAAAGATGAATAAACAAATACTTCGTTGTGTTTACCACTTTTCCTACAGGCTAGATTCAAGAGTACTGGCACTTTTCTGAATTTACAAATAAAACAGTCACCTTCCTGTCCAGCCCCGTGGGAAACAGACATCTTTGCCTACTGGGCTTTCCTTTCTCACAGCCAGCAGGTCCTCTTCCCAACCCCAGCTTCACCACTGCTGGAACAGGGGTAGGAGAGTGCAAAGTGTGCCTCTCTAGGAGCTTTCCTGCTTCTTGGGTCCATTGCTCTGATTATCTAAACTAGAGAATACATTTGTTTTTGAACCTGACCAGCCAGAGGCCATTCAATCCATTATCAAGGATCAGATGGAATTAGGAATTATTCGAAGAGCAAAAGGCAAGTGGAAACATATCTAGGAACAAGAAGGTCTTGTAGTTTTTCTTAAATGCACCATCATTCTTGAGGCCAGCCCTGGCCCCTGTTGGGTAAAGCAGTCTTGGCTGTCAGGCACCTCTGTTTCTGTGCCATCCTGTGAAGGAGGTAACCCTGCATTCTACTGTATTATAACCGATTTATTTGACAGTACCCCCAGCTGTAGGATTTTAGAGGGGACACTCTCATTCTTTCAGCGTGTAGCATTTTTTTGGGTATATGATTAGTACTTACTATGTGTTTAGTGAGTAAATAATCGAATGAATGAAGCAAGGCCCAGTCCAGAAGTAGATGATCTTTAAAAGAACCTCATTGGTAAAGCTACTCTTCTGCCGCCAGGGTTACTACTGGGGAAAGATCACCATGAACATGCTTCTGCCCCACTGCTGCCAACCCCACCTGCCTCTGCACTGTCCCCTGTGGCCTCTACCACATCCGCCAACAGCGCCCACGCTAAGACGGGCAGCAAGGACAGCAGCACCCAGACAGACAAGAGCACCGAACTCTTCTGGCCCAGTATGGCTTCTCTCCCCAGCCGCAGCAGGCTGAGCACAACCCCTTCCAACAGCCCCGTCCTGAAGCACCCAGCAGCCAAAGGGACCACAGAGAAACTGGGTATGTGGTCCCCCCGCCCCACTCCAAGTCCCCATGGAACTGTGTGGCCCAAGGGTAGGAGTTTTTATTGAGCTGGAGAGGGAGCAGGTGCACCTACTGAGTGATCATGGTCATTCCAGCTCCCTGAGGTTGTGTGTGCTCTCTGTTACTACAGCAGTAAAATGTGTATAACACTTCTAATGTATTACCATGTAAAGTGAGCAAGGAGTTTGAGTCCGTGGGAATATGTGCTTTATAACTGGTTCTTCTTGAGAAGGGGTAAAAACAGACTCTCCGAGGACTGTTAGGGAATTACTGTCCTCTGGTACATTTGGGAGTTGTGCCTGGGAGATACCAGGTCCCCAGGGTCCTCAGGTTCATAGACGTTGCTTCAGCACATTGACTTACTAAGGATTCAGGCCTTGGAGAAAGACATCCTGATTGAAAAGGAAGTAGGCTTACTTCAGGGTAGGTTAGCTTGCAGCACAGCACTTCGACCAGCAATAAGGAGCTGTTTAAAACACCTCAGACGGTGTGGGGAGGGTGGGCTCTGCAGTGAGTCCAGAAGTGCCCAGGAGAAAGAAAGACTTGACCCTGGACTAATCAGAGTTGTGGGCAGAGCCCTTTTTAAGAATTTGAGGAAGAGTGAGTTCCTTGAGGTATACATACATAAGCTGTCTCCACCAAGGTCTCTATTTTTGTTCCTATAATAGGCAAGTACAGTGTTATCATGTTTTTGAGCTGTAATTCTTGGGGTGCACTTTTCCAAGTAAGGTGGAGAACGTGTAGAAAGTGCCTGGCTCACAGTGAGCATTTGATGGTTTTGTGCGGAGGAGTGGGTGCCAGAGTCTCCATACAAAGTCCCAGTGTCATCTGCACCCAGTTCCTCCTCTCCCATCACCATCCTGGTTGTTTCTGTCTGACTCCTGATCCAATCAGTTGTTCAGCTTTTCCCTCTATGGCTAATTACATGGCCTTCCCACAGCCACTGGTGATTGAGACTCCCAGGTGAGCAGTGGCTTTTGAAATGGTCCCATAATAGCACTCAGAAAATCTCTCTTGAGGAGAGGGTTGCTGATGTTTCCTTTCTGTTTGCAGAGAACTCCCCCGGCCATGGGAAGGCAGCGGACCACAGAGGCCGCGGCAGTAGCTTGCTGCACAAGCCTGAGTTCCCTGATGGAGAGATGATGGAAGTTCTCATCTAAAGCTGTCATCCCTGTTAATTTCATATGGCAGCACTGCAAATCAGGAAAGTGGTAGAGAGGGAAAAGAAAGATCAAGAAGGTTGCAGATGGGAAACCAGGAATGATGCGAACTGATAAAGATTTCAGAGTAATAAGAATACTTTTCATAAATGTTAAAAGCAAAAATAGGAGAACCTACATGACTGAAGAGAAGAGAATGCTATGGATTTTCTTACATATAGTGGAAAAGAAGATACTTGTAGGTTTGGAAACAAGTTAAGAAGAAGTAGGAAATGGAGTTTTTCATTGTACAGAAGTTTATCTCTTGGGGAGCCTTGGTGTACTCCCACTCTTTGGTTATAAACAGATAAACCTAGTCATGTATTTTCCTTGAATAACCCTCGTTCTGCTTGCCTCTTAGCATGTTTCATTTAAAAAGAATCTCCTGGGCATCTCTAGAGCCTGTGTTGGCACAATGCAGCATCACCATGCCCTTGTGGGTTCCTGTGGCTGTGGGTGTTGCACAGTGAGAAGAACCCCCCAGGAATACAGGAAAATTGCAGAGGCAATATTCACCTAATTATCTGCTCGGCTTGGGTTGTCAGGAGATTATGGGCTTATTAGCTTCTCTGGATTCGGCAGTATTCTGAACAGGGTGAGAGCATTAGGACCTTGGTCCTCATCCTCACCAGCTTCTCTGAGTGTCTGTGCTTTGCTTTCTTTAATTTTGCTTTTTCGTCACTCCTTCCTTTTTTCCATTTTAATAAGGGATTGCGGAGTTCCTTAAGTATGGGACTCACAAGAGCAGTGTCTGAACCGTCCTCTTTCCTGCTGTGTCTAAGAGGGGGAGTGGGAGAGCACCCTGCGGGCTTCCTGGCTGGCTTCTGGTTGGGCTGAAGTTGTTCCTCCCATGCTGACTGCACTCTGGGGAAGCTGTCATGAGGTGGAGGATTCCGTGGGTCACTGTCACACTTACAATCAAGATCATGGCACTAATTCTTTTCCTTTCACACATCAGTTCTCTTGCAAAGAGCTTGCTATTTCCATTCCATTGCTCCGTTAGGTTAAGACCTTTTAGACAATGGATGACAGTTTATAAGCAGTGTCTTGTTAAATTGCCCAGGATGGCCTCAAACACATATGATCCTCCTGCCTCAGCCTCCTAAATAGCTGGGATTATACTTGTAGGTTACTGTGACCACTCAAATCTGAGACTTTAAAATAACTCTTAAATGAAATACTGAGGAGACAATTACTCAGGAGACTTTGTTTGGGTGGCTTATTTTAGGACTGGCCTTTGGACAGTGTCCTGGGTGAAGTTACAGTCTCTCCAGATAGAGGAGGAAGAAGGAAGACAAGACGTGTGGACTGCAGAGGGGAGGGAGAAAAATAGCTTTGGCCAGCAGGGCCCTACACCATGTGGTATGACACGAGTAAGTGGGAACTGACCCATCTCGCGCAGCAGCTGTTCAGTAGGCACTGAGCTTTGTGCTTCCTTCTTGTTACCTCTAGTCTCAGACTGAGCACTAAACCTTCATGTATACAGAACAGGAATCTGAGGCAGCACCAAGAGCCTCGTACTGGTAGCACGCCATCCTCCAGGGTGTGGGAAGAGAGTACAAGAAGCCTCATCAGTGGGTCAGAGTTGGTGAACCCACAGGGGATGAGGTGAAGGATCATATCCAGTCACTTTTCATGGGGCAGGAGAGTGGTTCTCTTAAGTACATTCTAATCCCAATTAATGTTGTGGATAGATTGGAAAGGAAATTGTTGAGAGACGGGAAATGAAGTCATCTCTGCTGTCCCCTCCACTTCCATACCTGGGCCACCCCAAACTTGGGCCGTCTCCCTAGCAATAGGTGAAAGCGAGCACCGGAGCCCAGTTTGTCCCAAGGCTTGGTCTGTGTACTCCAGACACTGCATCTGCACACTCAGGCTCGAGCTTCAGTGTCTGTCGTAGGCCCCTGGATTACCAAGCATCTTCATTGTTGGAATGCAGACAGAAACATGACCGTTCTCCAGGGCTTCGGCTCCAGTTACACTATCACTTTTGTTGGTGTGTATTCTCCTAATCTGTAAGACTCCTCTGTCTGTAGCTTTCAGATATCTTCTGTTACAGGAGCTCACCTGCCAGGCGAGAGCCCCAAACCCTTTCGTCATCACGGTTTCTCAGCCTAGCTTGCCTACAGGAAGTACTCACTGCAGGTGCTGGACACCCATGCAGCTCTGGGCGGCCCACAGTCTTAATCTCACTGAACTGGAGAAGAACAGTGTTAGCTATACTGTACAGTGACTGTGTAGGCACTGTGATGTGTACCTTTTGATTAGTCTTTAAAGCACCTGGGGAGCAGGAGCAGGTTCATTATTCTAATTGCAGGAATCAGAAACTCAAGCTTGGGAATGTTAAGTCCCTTTTCAAAGTCTCACAGCAAGAACCTAGGATTTAAAACAGCTTTAGAGAGGAGCCTACACTACAGGATACACGGCCTCAAACAAGACCTACTCCACTATTTGGACTCTCTGACTGTGTGTACACACACACACACACACACACCAGCCGTACCTCTCAGAACCTAGGAAATAGGATGAATCCCAGAACTCCTAAGATTGTCCGCCAATACCAGGCAGATATGGAAAGCTTTTTGTTCTATTATATTACACTTACAAAACACATCTTAAAAAATATTTCTGCATTGTCCAAAGACCTGGTCTTCTTTAGAACTTCTCAGGGCCCTCTGACCATAGACCTTGACTGCCTTGGGTAAAGGGTGAGTGCTTTGTCTTTGGGTAAAGGGTGCCAGAGTATGTCAGCTTCATCCATGAGTAGACTGATAATACCATCATGCTGCCAGGGTTTTACCTGGGCTATAAGATGTAGTTGATGTCAGGCCCATAACCCTAGAGTTTCACTAAATAGATGGGTTTGTGTGTAAGAATTCTTACCATCTATAGGTCCATATAGCTAAAGCTGCCAGGAAATGTATATTATTTTCCAAAAATATCTATATGTACAGAACACTTTTCTTAGCATTCTTTGAAGTGTTCTGTCTGCTTTGCAGCAGCTGGTGGCCCTGGACAGTGGGGAGTTCACCGTGCTCTCACTGTGCCTGTAAGACAGGGCTACTCATTCTTTCCCTAGCGGGGTTGGGAGGGCAAAGAACAGCACAGCCTTTCTCATTTTGGTCGTGTGAGGGTTGCCCTTTGCAACGTATGATTTTGACTACAGAGCTGAAGTAGATACCAAAATAATTGCTACAAATAAATTCTGAAGGTGGGATAGAGAATTCAGTGGGTCTGCTGGTCAGGGAAGAAGCTCTCCGAGTATGCCCTGTCAAGAGGCAAGTTACATCCCATTTGCTGCTGCCTGAGTTGCCCTAAGTCTCGTGCACTCTGGTGATGCTGTGGCTGAAGCACCTTCACGCCAAGCACAGGTAGATCAAGGAATTCTCCCCAGCAACCTGCTCAGTCCCTGTGGCCGAGCGATGCCAGGGTCCAAGGAGACAGTAAAGAAGACAGGCGGTTTGAAAGATCTTGAGGTAGGCACTCACATGTAGACTGGAGAGAGCTATCCCGAGGAGAGACATGTTGTCCAAAACAAAGTTTTGCTCCATGGTCTGCTGTGGAGCAAGCATGTTCCACCCATTGTATGCTCCATGAATGGTCGTGCACACTCCTAAAGCAAGGGACTTCACAAATGTCCTTAAGAGGCAAGGGCTTTAAGAAGCCAAAGAATATCCAGCCCAGCAGTTGTTTCTCCACATCACTGAAACCTGGTTATGGTATAGGCTGTACATATGTGTACTTTTTTTTTAATTCTTTTTTTCTTTTGCTTGCTAATTAGTGTGTTTAAAATATCTCCATTTGATGTGATGATTATTCATTGTGTTGTTTCTGATGTGCAGCTCCATGGGAGATGGGCAGAGGAGTTCAGAAGATAGCAGAACCTGGTTGGTCAGCTGGGAGGATGCAAAGATCAGCATTTCAGTAAATGACTTTCTTCTTGAACAAATAAGCGTGTTTTTCTCTCCCTTTAAATAGTAAACCTTCTCATTTAGTAATTTACTGATATTTTGAGATGTATGGTGAATGCATACATATAAGGTATAACTAAGGACTGTGAGTAAAATTAAGAAAATTTTGGAAACTTCTTTATTAGAGTGGCCTTCAGGGCCTGGCATATTCCTTTGATTTCCCCTGAAAGGTAAGAAATCTTTATCTTTCAAAGATAGTCTTATAGCCAGGTGTGGTGGCACATACCTGTATTCCCAGCACTCAGGAGCCAGAGGCAAAGAGAATCACCATAAGTCCAAGGCCAACCTGGGCTACATAGTGAGTTCAAGGCCAGCCTGAATTACATAGTGAGACCCTGTCTCAAAAAACCAAAACAATAAAAAATAAAAATGATTTAAATTTTGGAAGTAATCCCAAATTGTTCATAGCACAAGGGAAAGAGTAAACATGGTAATTAAGGTAATTCACATCTTTTTTTTCCCCTTTAAGTAAAATTCCTAAGAAATTCTTTTAAATGAGCTTGGACTCAGCCTTGCAAAGTGACAGTTAAAGGGACGACAGTACTCACTTGTATTCACAACTTCTAGAAGTTTCACTTTTAAAAATGTGTTCTTTTGCGTGCCCCGTGTGTGTTCCCATCTCTGCATACACTGCAGACATAGCAGGGTATTCATGTGTATGAACATCTGGTAGAGGCTCTGTAAAACCAGCTTGTACTTCAGTGCACGTTGTTGTCATGTATCCTGTGACCAAGGTGTTTATTTGTCGTGAAACCTTACTTCTTCACAGAATGAAAATACGGTCCTTAATATAATGCAGGACATCTACAGCATTTCTTGTATCAGCTTCCAAAGTTTTGATGCCCAGTGTTGTGTTTACATGTGATTTTACCTAGGATTCTCTTCTCAGATGCCTGTATTTATTACAAAGCAAATTGTAAGCAGATTTATCTGCAGTGGTTTTATCTGACTCAAGATGTTTTTCCCTTTTGAGGAGGGACAGCAAAGCCTCCTACTCTTTCCTCCTCCTCTTCCTCAAGGCACTTACAGAGTCTGTGTACAGTTCTGTAAGACAAGGGTGAGTGCAGGCACCCGGCCAAAACTCTGACAGCCCTCAAGCCATTGCCCTTTCTGCCTGCTGTGTGTGTGCGTGTGTGTCACTGTATGTGCTAGCCATGTGCTGTGAATTCTGGTAACTGGGTGTAACCTTTGGCGTCTTTGGATTGCTGGTCTGTACTGAATTGTGTACAGAGTTGTACAGCCAGATGGGTCTGTGTACAGAGTGGGGAAGTCCAAGCACATGGCGTGTCCCCCACAGCAAATACAGATTCTGTTGGTCGGCCAAAGATTTTCCTATTCTTTGCTGCTTAAACTTGTGCCTTACTATTGTATATAATAAATGGATAAAATGGCCAAGCGGCTCCTTGGTCCTCTCATTTGCTGTTTTTCTCCAAATGTTCATTTCATTGTATGGATGGAGGCAGCTCCCGTTCATTATTGTGCTTCAGAGGTTTTGGGGCCCCGCTCTGGGCCTCTGCTCACATAGACCCTGAGCTCTTGCTCTGAGGAGGAAATGAGTCACGCATTCCCTGGAGCTGGTAGCTCACACTCCCTGCTCCTCCAGAAAAATGAGAAGGAAAGTCGGGGTGAAAGCAACATCCACTTTGTTCATATGTGAGTGTCCTCGGTGGATTCTAAGATTCAGAACCTTCCATGACTGCTGGAAACTGAACTCTGCCTCAAAGAATTTACCTGGGCGTCAGGAACTAGACTGGAGTTAGATGTGCCTCTGCACCCTACTACAAGCGTGCTTTGTTACTATCTTGAGGTCATGGAAAGAAAAGGTGGCTCAGAAAGGTGAGAGGATAAGTTGGTGGGACCCAGGCCAGAATCTTGAGAGACTAATGCAGCACAAGGTAAACTGCATGAGGGTCTCTAAGCGAGAACCCTCCCTTTGGGCAGCGTGAACAGTGTTGAGCAGGTGCAGGGGCCTCTGTTCATTCTCTGGCTGTGCCTTTTTCAGCAAAACCTCTCTCCTCAGTTTTTCCTGGTCCTTGCAGAGGAAGTCCTAAATGTGAGCTGCAGAAGAGTGTGAGGCCCCCAATAAACACAAGTATGATTAGAAACCTGTCTCCTTGAATCCACACAACCATCTCATCGTTATCCCACTTTACAGACCGGGAAACTTAGGCTCAGACACCTGCAGAAAGTGGTAGAGTGGGATCTGAACCCAGCTGTAGCTGGCTCAGCCTGCACGCGGCAGGTGCAAGGTGGATGGACCCTGGGCTGAAGAAGGGCTTCGCCTCCCTTCTGCTCCCTTCTTCTTGTCTGTCCTGCTTTCTATCCAAAGGATTCCTTAATGGGAAACTAAATCTCTGCTTGCATGAGGCTGTGCCTCCTTCATGGTGAAGGATGGACCTTTGCCACTCTCCAGGCCTCTCTCTCAGGACGTTCTGGGAAGGCAGCTGGAGGACCACATTTGTGTGCAGGGCTTGGATTGCCCTGCGCCCCACCCCCACCTCCATTCACCTCCCTGCCCAGACCCAGAGCTGGCAGCTGGGTGACAGCCCTCAGCCCAACTCTGGCCTTTGTCTTGGCCCCTTGCACTCCATAGGAGAGAATAGCTTAGTCGCAGCAGCCCTGTGTGGCCATCCCAAGTCTTTTGTTATTTGAAGTAACGTGGATCCCTATGCTAAGATTCTGGGGGTTGGGGATGGCTCAGAGAACTACAGGGGATTGCAGTGTCCTTTAAATTGGCCCATCTTAATGGAGAGTTCGGTAGCAAATGACAAAATTCATTTGCTAAAAAAAGATTTGTGTTCCCAAATAAAAAAGAGCTTTCTGCCACTGAAGACTTCTGTTACTTTTTGTTTCTGTGCCTCTTTTATCAACCATGACAGTGTGTGTGTGGTGTGTTCCCTGTATCTGTCTCTGTTCCCAGCAGGCCGGTGTTCACTTCTGTATCCAGAAGAGCTACAGTTTCTTCCTCCCCTGACAGGACTCCCGCTCTGGACTCTTTCAGGAATACTGGGAGATATATGTACATGTATTGGTTTAAAAGTGAATCAGGAGCCTCGAATACTCTCCCCATCTGAGATGGACGTCTATCGGTGAGGCTTGGAGACCTTGGGTCTCCACGTGTGTGTGCAGAGAACACGGGACTCACAAACTACATAGCTGAATAATTTGCAGCATAATCATAAAATAGTAGAAACTAACAATGGATGGGCCAGAGATACGGCTCAGTGGCACAGCGACTACCTGGCAAGGGCAGAGTCCTGAGTTCAATTCCTGGTACCAAAAAAAGGAAAGAAAGAAGCTAACTTAACAGTGTATAACTTTGTGCCCTGCTTGTTTTTGCCTTCTGAATGTCTGAGGAAGGCATGTACTGAATTGGCTTCAGAATATGATTTCATGTTAAGAACCCAGAAAACAGGTTCTGTAATACATGTTCACACGTACATTTTACATGAGGAAACAAGCTTCTGTAGTACAAACTAGGCCTATTTACTCCTGAAGTCCTGCCTACTGACTTGTGCCTTTAACTATATTTTTTAATGCATTTTATTTGCTGTTTGTTCTTAACAGCTCTAAAAAGAATTGATAAATAGCTAAGTGAAAAATCATTACTGAGGTTCTCTTTGAAAGTATATTTCTAACAGAAGCATATACTGAACAGACAGGTTGGATCAATGGCTCTGGTCTATTTGTGGCCCATAAATTTAATTTATGCTTTCCAGGGTTGGGGTAAAGGACCCACATGCTTATGTTTCAAAAGCTATCTCTCCAGGCCTGCTCTTGCCTCAGGCATGTTGTGAGATCACAGAACTCCAGGGGTTCATAGATGCTCCGGGTAAAATGAAGAGTTTGTTTTTCAGTCAGCTGAAATACAAGAGTGTACCTAATGGGCATCCATATGTAAGTTTCCCAGCCTCCTGAAGCCTGGTGCCAGACCTCCCTTCCCAGTCACAGCTCTGCATGCTGTTCCAGTCACTCAGTTGCCTCATCCGCCATCTTCATCTCTCTCCCTTTCTCCTAGGCTAGTCAGTTCCTTGTTCCTGTCCATTCCACCTTCCCATGTTGCATCTATACTTTCGTCTCCCCATCCTCACACTTAATTCAAGCACTCATCTCTTACCCCTGCAGTTGGCCCTGCAGTTGCAATAGCCTCCAACCTACCATCTCATCCCACCCTTCACTTGACATGGATACCACAGAAATGAGCTACGACTGACATAGTAATTACTGTTAATGTGCATCTAACACCCCCATGAACCTCTCCTTTATTAGGACAGCAAATTTTTTTTTTTTTTTTTGTCTTTTTCCTTTTTTTTTTTGTCGGTACCAGGGATTGAACTCACGACTGCCCGCTTACAAGGCAGGCGCTTATGCCGCTGAACTAAATCCCCAGCCCCTGGACAGGAAATTCTTAAAACCACTCTATCAGCCTATCAGTGCAGCCCTGTTTTACTGAGAATGAACCCAAGAGGTAGAGAAGTTAAGCCGCTTGCCCAAAGTTCTACAGCTTGTGAGTGGCAGGACTGGGCTCCAATCCAGATATACCCGCTCCACGGATTATACTTTGGACTAGTACTGATTGGCATTGTGTTGGGACTGGGAAGCGCAGTAGGAGGTGAGCGGCAGGCAAGCAGTGTGGCTGTCATCTGTATTTACAGCAGCTGGCCTTCGCTTACATCATCACTGTCGCCTCCTGTCAGATCAGCAATGGCATTAGATTCTCAGAAGCTCAGACCCTACTGTGAACTGCACCTACTGGGCATTTGGGTTACGTACTCCTTTGAATTATCTTGAAGCCAACCCATCCCCATCCCCTGGCCCCTCTTGGAAAACTTACCTTCCACAAAACCAGCATAAAAGTTAGAGACTGCTCTAGACCACAGTGATCTTCCTTTGAATTTCTGAAAACAAGTCTGATCATACCACTGCCTCCAGGAACACAACAACAAAATCATTCACCCACGTGACCTTCAGGATAAAGCTATGTTGTTCATGCCCAGCACAGTTGACCCTGGCTGATTACTCCCTGGCTCTCAAAACTGCACCACAAATCACTCTGAAATCACGTCTGAGTCCAGAATCTGCTCTGTGCATTTCCATTTCCGCCCCTGGCAACGGGGTCCTCTGGTCTGGAACATCCTCTTGTCGTCTGCCCAAATCTAATCCAACCTTACAGGTGAGACTCTAATGTCACTCTCCTCAGAAGCGTTTCAAGTGACCCCCATCAATGTTAATCACTCCTCTTTCACTATCAGCTGAGTCACCTTGAGAAGTTGAAATTGCTCATCTGTAAGATGACGGAACTAGGTACCATCTATATTCACTTATGTGAGTCCAGCACCTGACACACCATAGCTTTGCAAGTGTTTGCTGACTGAGTCAACCCTAAAAATTGAATGAGAGAAGAGTTGTGATAGGATTTTTGGCACAGTAAGAGAGAGAATAAAAAGTAAAAATGGCCTTTATTCTAAGACATGGAGAGAAGCTCCATGACCACCAAGGCCTGGATTTTTCTGCTGGAAATGTGGGGTGGGAGGGCATACATACAGTTTTCGACTGGGGTGGTGCTTAAAGGTGGCATTGCTGATATGCAAGTAGCTGATAGGGAGTCTTTTTGTGTTACAGGTAAGTTGCATAGGGGAGGGGAAAGTGACCTCAAGGTAAACATCCCCTGGTCCCACCTCCCACTGCCCTAATATCCTATCTAGGGCAAAATCCTGTCAAGCTGTAATATGCACAGCTCATAAGAGGCCCTTTACAAAGGTGAGCTCTGTGCAGCATAGCAGCTAGTCAATTCCTGGTCTCAGTTTGCCTCCTATTACATGAACTACAGTGCAAGCATTTATCAGCTCATCCACTGGTGTTAAGGAACTCTGACTTGAAGCCGGAGGACATGCTCATTAAAAGCTGAGCTGCCTGTGAACTACGCCAAGCTCCCTCCTGCATCTGTTCAGTAACTGTTGCCAAAGAAACTGAAAGAGGAAATCCTAACATAAAATGCTACTTAAAAATTATGCAAATAATGCACATTTGTTATTAAACAATCAAATATACAGAAGTGTGTGTAACAAACCATTCCCTCTACATCCTTGTAAGCACCCATTGTCAACAGCTTGAAAATTTCCTTCTAAACTTTTTTTACAGATTTGTACAACCAAGTAGATCAGGAGATATACATGAATGAATATTAATTTAAAAATAAGGCTGTAGTAAAACAGTGTGCTTCATTTTCCATTTAATACTAGGTCTTAGTCAGATTTCCTTGGGGAAAATATAGTCATTTGTGGCAGGATAGTGTCCCTCTCTCTACAGAAAGGGAGGTCCCTCTCCGTAGCATTTCCCCAGCAGTGAAGGAAGAACAAAGAATGCAGGGAAGCTGGGCAGATGTTTTGGTTTTC